CAAACTGGAGAGGAATCAAATAAGTATATCAGAAGCATATTCGCCAAACTTGAAAAAAAAAACTATAATGGTATCTTTAAAACTTTAAAGTTATAAGGATGCAGTCCGAATGGAAAAGCACAATAATTAAAGAGGTGAGATGATGTTTCTGAGACTGTGAGTTCCATGTTTCTCCACAGGAGTGAGTGTGCAGGTAAATCAAGAGAAACCAATATAGTAAAGACATACTCATCTTTCTATAAGACCAGGGATACACTGCTTAGCTGCATTCAGGCCCTTAAAAGGTTCATCTCAGAAGACCTAAAGGCAACCCTCACAGACTACACTGTTGAAGAATCTTGCATGTAGGAGTGCCTGGAAACACTCAGAATCTGTCCTAGAGCTTCAAGAAATAGATGTTTGTTGGCTCCTTTGTTGTCAGTACACAGGAGAAAGAACCCTTCCTTCCAATATCTACTGGAAAAGAGGTATCTGTAGTCAGAACTAAATAAGTGCAAAGGTAGCCCAAAAATCCTAGGAATGGGCATAAAACTCACAGAACTCCTTTAAAGGGAACTCAGTAACCAGGAGGAAGTGTAAGCTTAAGAATAGAACTACCTAGGTAGAACTAACACAAGACATTAGGTGACTCATAAGTTGCTTGTTTTGACTAGGACCAAGAGGAGAAAAGGCTCTCAGCAAATTACACTGAGCAAACTACCCCAATGTTCAGGCCAAACAGATTCAAAGGCACTAGAGGTACAGTATGGGTTGCTATGTGGGTTTTCTGGCCAGTTCCTATGAGAGAGTTGCAGAACAACCTCTAGATTTTCTGAAGCAAAGATAGCCCTTGTATAACACGGTTGGAAAAGCAGCTCTTGACATGATGATGGGCCTCATAAAGAACCCAAATAAAAAAAACATTATAAAGACTTTGTGACTGGAGAGCAGGGGTTGTGGCTCGCAGTGGGGAGCTCACCTCACACATGCGAGACCCTGGGTTCGATCCTCAGCACCACATAAAAAATAAGTAAGTGAAATAGAGGTATTGTGTCCAACTACAACTAAAAAATAAATATTAAAAAAAAAAAGATTTTGTGACTGGAGCTACCATCATGAGCCACCAAGTTAAAAGGCCAGTTTTATCAGGAATCACTGTATAGTGGACACAGTATACTTGGAATAAGGCCTAGGCAGGTCCACAGGACACTAATAAACTCCAAGAGATGGCTCAGAACTTTATATTACCTATTTCTACCACACTGATGTCTCTAATTTATGCTCATACCAATAACTTTATAGTAAGTGCCCAGTAAGCAATAATGGGGAAAAAAGTCTGGGACCTAGTTAACAGATACAAGCCAAAAAGAAGACAGCTACTGCTCAACAGTCTACTCACAAGTCTGAAAGACATTACGGAGACAGTGAGTACTGTAAAGGGAGAAGAAACCAAAGAAGAAAATACATAGGTTCCTGGGCAGTAGAGAATGGTCTGGCTGATTGGGAGAATACGAAAATAAGAAACAAGACCTTAGAGAAAATCCATGTTGAATGGCCCTGTAGGAGTCAGCCCAAGACGCCACCACCACAAAGCACCAGTCACAGTAGAGGCATTTAACTACAGGCAACCACAGATAGATGACTCATCATCAATGCTATCAGCCAGTCAGTTTCTGTCTTGGTCACCTTAATACTGGAGCATGGGTCCATGAATGCAGCAGTCATACTAACAGAGGGAGGAAGGTTTTACCTAGACTCAACATCACAGGCTCCTTTTTATGAAGGCTGACGTGATTACTGCTGCTATTGAGTGTTAACTAACATATTCTCAGTGCAGAAAAAACTCTTAATCCAGATGTGTATTTGCCTTCCCTGCCCAGAGTACATCCTATTGCCAGCACCTCCATCTGAAGTGAAGGCTTATGGAGTATCTCATGGTTTGAGTATCAATTATAAGCCTCTGGATCAGCTGCAGTAGTGGAAATTATAGCTTATTCCAGTAACCTTCTTGTTTTGGATATTTCTTAAGTGATTATAACAAACCACCACTTCAAAGGTAGATGATAAGGTAGATTTAATGTGGCAAAGGTAGTTTGAGGGATAAACAGTGGAGATTCTAGCTACTTGGAGATTCTAGATACTTGTTGGTATTCTTCAACACATCCTCTCCACCTCCATTTTGTCACTGCAGCTCTGGTGGGCAATTTTACACTGTCCAACAAGAGACACCATCCAGTGTCACATCCTCTCCACCTCCATTTTGTCACTGCCGCTCTGGTGGGCAGTTCTACACTGTCCAACAAGAGACACCATCCAGATTATAAAGCATGGCTCACTTTATTCCTCAGACTTCTACAAACCTAAAGAGTACTGTGCAGTCTAGAGGTACAGTGACAGAAATGCCAGTGCTAGAACTCTTAAAAGAACCCTTAATAAACAACACATAACATTCGAGGTATAACACAGTCTTTTGGTAGGGCAAGACTATAAGGTACATTCAGAGGGTTCTCAGAGGACTGAGATCCAGTTTCCCATAGTGGTAACTAACTCATAACACATTTACCATCTTCTCTGTCCATTTTTCCTTTTCTCCCATTTCCTCTTTTTGTTTCATTTCTCAAATAAACTATCCATTTTAAGTCCTTTTCTTTAGCTAAGTAGTAGTAAAGTCAGGATTCAAACTGAAGCAAGCTGGCTCTATTGCATTGCTTTTGAACAGAGTAGAGTGACTCTTTAAAATGGTAAAAACGTGGTTCTGTACGTTATGGGATACTAATGTCAGAAGCAATGAATAAATGTACATACAGTTATATACAGAGTTTTTTTATTATTAAAACTTTTTAAGGGTTTGGGGGTTTTGACTCGGTTGTAGAGCGCTTACCTGACATGTGTGAGACACAAATTAGAGTGCTGTCCAACGGCATAAAGAGAGGAAAACAGAAGTAAGGGTCAAGAACAAAGGAGGGGCTGGGCTGAAGCTCAGTGGTAGAGTGCTTGCCTCACATATATGAGGCATTGGGTTCAATCCTCAGCACCACATAAAAATTAAAGATATAGTGTCCATCTACAACTAAAAAAAAATATATAAATAAATAAATAAAACAGAAACAAAGGAAAAGCCCAGCCTGATGGCACCTGTTTATAATCCCATTGGCTTGGGAGGCTGAGGTAGAAGGTTCACAAGTTCAAAGCTGGCTTTAGCAATTTAGCAAGGCCCTGTCTCAAAAGAAAAAGAAAAAAGGGTTGGGGAAGTGGTTCAATGGTTGAGCACCCCTGGGTTCAATCTTTGGAACAAAAAAAAAGGGGGGGGGGATTAAAATGAATCATCTGAGGGGCTTTATGGAGAACAAAGTAAGTTAGTTACATACATGAACTGCAGGTAAGATTAACTCAAGTTTCTGAACCATAGCTCAAAACAGAGAAAGAGCAAAGTACTGTTACTTTTACTGTTTGTGAGTAGTGAGTAGGTGGTTATCAAACAGACATGTGCCTATTAAAATCTTTTTCTTCCGCTAGTACTTTTTTCTTCCTCTAGTACTAGTGAGCAACATCCTCATCCTTTTTTTATTCTGAGATTCTCACCAAGTTGCTTAGGGTCTCACTAAGTTGCTAAGGCTGGTTTTAAACTTGCAATCCTCCTGCTTCAGTCTCTCAAATTGCTGGGATTATAGGCATGTATCACCACACCCAACACAAAATCTTTAAAAATTCACCTGTATAAAACTAAAACCTGGCCAGGCACAGTGGCACACGCTTATAATTCCAGCGGCTCAGGAGACTAAGTTAGGAGAATCATGAGTTCAAAGCTAGCCTCAGCAACTTAGCAAGTACCTAAGCAACACAGTGAGACCCCATCTCTAAATAAAATACAAGGGGGGAGGGGAGGAGCTACAACAGTACATTCAGCATGCTTTGGGAAACAGTATTGTGACTACTAAGATAAGAATGCTAGAGTGTGTAAAAAAGTGGATGTGTAACCAATGTGATTCTGCAATCTGTATACGGGGTAAAAATGGGAGTTCATAACCCACTTGAATCGAATGTATGAAATATGATATGTCAAGAACTATGTAATGTTTTGAACAACCAATAATAAAAATTAAAAAAAATAAGAATGCTAGACTGGATTGATTAATAGGTTAGTACAAATAGGAAAGCCCTGCAATATTTCCAGTATAATGTCATGTAAGGCCCTAAACCTGGATGGTGATTAGGAATTTGAAAATAGATGATAAAAATATTCATGATATGCTATAGAGATAAACTAACAGGAGTTGATCTCTGACAAGGTATAAGATGCAAAACATGAGGAATCAGATATAACAATAAAACTTTTCTTGGGTGACAAAGAGATCACTAACAGAAGGGGAAACATTTGAGGCCAGGCTGGCCTTGAAACTGAGATCCTCCTGCCTCAGGCTTTAAAGTAGCTGGAATTACAAATATGCTCCATCACATCCACCTCTAAAAGAATCTCAAAGCAATGAGCTAATTCTTCCAAATATTGTCTTAGAATGATTTCTTTCCTATTTCTGGCATTACTACAGTTTCTTTACTTCTTTAAATTAAATTTTACTTCCAAAGATCTATTATTCTAAGATATTTAAAATCTTAACTGTAAAATGTGTTAAAATTTCAAAATAATGTAAACATTCATTTTTAATATAGTTTTCCACTCTGAACTATGCTTTCCAGTCTTTATGGGAAGAAATAAAATCCTGAAGGAAGAAATAATACTTACTTTCTATAATTAGTTAAGAAAATGGTATTGTTAAGAAATATTTTCACTCCTGAAGAAGTTTGATATTTACAAGAGAAGAAAAATACATAAGAATTATGTATGAACGCATTAAGAAGGTGATTCAACAAACTAAAGTAGCTAACACAAAGTTGTGGTGTTACCAATAAAATAAAGAAGCTCAAATAAAGTTGCAGTGGTGACATGGAAGGACTATTTTCAATTGTTAAGAAAGAAAAATTTTCATATTACTCTATTATTTTCTTTAAAATCTTTTCCTTACCTTGGAGATGTGGCTATAAAACTGTACTTCCAATTCTCTCCAAATAGCTTTGACCTATGCTTCCATCTCATGAATTCCAAGACAGTATTAAGCTGATGCATATTTTCATAAATCTGGGGGGGGGAAAGAACTTAAACTTAAGATAGAAAGAACTTTTATTTGTCAGAATTTTCTAACACATGTTAAAGCAATACTAAAAATATTTCATGTGTAAAATAACACATTTTCAATGTAAAGACAATGAAAAGTTCCAGTTGTTTAGAAACCCATCACTTTTATTATTTTCCCAACCTCTGAATAATGAAGCATATAAAGTTAGTTTTGTGGGAAAAAAAGATATCACCTATAAAATTTCCATGTTATAGTTTTGAGAAACAAAAATTTCATCATTTAAAAAAAAAAACAATAACTTTCCTAGCCTTGTGTTTGAATACACGACCAGAGTAACTCTGTATCATATACAACCATAGAATAGTATCCTAAATAGAATAAGTTATATTTTATGAATGTATAATTTTCCAAACTACCTTCTACTGACATGTATAACTAAAAAGAAAAAAAATTTTAAAAAATACAGGGGCTGGAGTTATGGCTCAGTGGTAGAGCACTCGCCTAGTATGTGTGAGACCCTGGGTTCGATCCTCAGCACCACATATAAATAAAGGTATTGTGTGCAACTACGACTAAAAAATACATAAATGTTTAAAAAATACATTTGGTTGCATGCCTGTAATCCCAGTGACTCAGGAGGCTGGGATAGGAGGATCTTGAGTTCAAAGCCAGCCTCAGCAACTTAGAAAGGTCCTAAACAACTCAGTGAGACTCTGTCTCTAAATAAAATACAAAAAAAGGCTGCAGATGTGGCACAGTGGTTGAGTGCCCCCAGGATTCCATCCCTGGTACCAAAAATAATAATAATAAGAGCTAGCTAAATAGCACTAAAATAAACAGTAAAATAAATATCAATTCAATAAGTATTACAATAAAAAAATTCATATTCTTACATGGGCAGAAACATATTTGACCACCTAGTTAGTATTTCCTTTGCCCCTTTTTATCAAGTTTCATTAACCAGTTTTAATTTCATTCTAACTTCTACCTAGAATAGTAGGATTTATGAGTGTGAAGAATTAGTTGCATTGATGGGATTGGACCCATGTTAATAGTGTCATTAGGATCCTACCGTTCCAAGGAATAAACATTCTAAAAGATGGAAAACATTAGAAATTTTACTTTACTTAAAGATGTGTGGTATTTTACTTGTAGATTTTTTAAAAATAATTTTACTGAATGTATCTTTTAATTGAAACTTCAAATAGCAAAGTATTCTGTTGCATATTTTAAAAGCTATGTAAACATTACCTACATCCCACTGCAAGGTTAAAGGCCTTTGTCTTCAAGACCATTTAGAAGTATCATTTATGTTGCACTGAGGTTTAGTAGTCTTGGCAATAATGACTAAATTCATGTAAACGAGGGCAATATGAAACGGTCTGGCATATCAGATAGCAGTCTTTGTTAAAGATAAGACTCTTTACTCAGCAAGCAGGCAGCCATAAGACTATGCTAAATCTTTCATGGTCCAAGTAAAGTCAGCCTGACCCTGAAAGCAATTAGTAATGCTTTGTCTGAATTTAGGAGCTTTTAACAGTCTTCTGGTGTACTAGTTACTAGTTACCTACAACTTAACCAGGTCTCTAACTTTTTTTAGAGTACTCATATGACTTTAAAACTCTCAGATTGTCACTAAGAAAAATGCATGATGGCAGGATTGGAGACTTCATGGTTTTATTTTTTGAGACATTCATAATCTTTAAGAATTTCCCTCACACTAGTTAAAAAATAAAGGCATTATGTTTCCACTTTATAAACAGCATAAAAATTTTCCTCCAAAGCCATTTTTCCCAACTACAACTACACCATTCCTCCCTAAGGTTGTGTACAGAAAGAGAGAGGAAGTAATCACTGTATTAAACAAAGCTCAGATTAATCCATTTGCATAAAACCAAAGACAGCCAACAGAGATGGCCTGATTCTAATTTTATCAGATACTTCCAATGGAGCAAATAATAAATAATATGTAAACCACTTACCAATCATTGTTTATTACAACACTAATCATTACAATATTGTTTCCTTGAGTTACAAAACAATGTAATAGCTTTAGGCTAAATCTAAAGTTTATTTTTAATAAAAAAGGAAAAAGAAAGAAAGAAAGAAAATTGACCCTAAGACTCACTAAGGAAAATCAAGTAAGGTTTGACTTCATTATTCAGAGCTAACCAAAACAAGTCAGAGGAAAGATACACTTCACAGTACAGGTCTGCAAATAATTTCTTACATATTACAAATTGTATGAATACAGTAAAGATTAGGACCTTTGCAATATAGTGCCATAGTTCTGTAAGCACAAATCTATAAATATGCACACATATAGAAGGGAACAAGATTTACATAGGCAAAATGTTCCAAACAACTTCAACCACTTAACTTACAAGGCAATTTACAGCAGTCTGAGCATTGTAAACTTATATCCAACAATCACAGGTATGCCAGTCAAAACCAAACACCAAATAAGTATTTTTTTAGTTGTAGTTGGACATTTATTTATTTATTTTTATGGTGCTGAGGATTGAACCCAGTGCCTTGCACATGCTAGACAAGCTCTCTACCGCTAAGCCATAGCCCCAGATGCCCCAAACTAAAGATGCCTTTTCTCATAATAAGTGTTTTTATGCTAAAGATTTTATGTTTAAAATTTTCAAACATGTTAACTGTAGAAAGCACATTAAAGAGAAGGTAATTCTTTTACAAATATCAGTTTCTTAGGGACTTGAAATAAATGAAAATCAAACCTAAGTATACTCTAATGTTTTATAACAAAGAGCTAACATTAGAATTACTCAAGTTAATTATTCGCAAAAAAAGCAGACAATTCCCACATTTTATTTTTATTCCCACATTTTCCTTTACAAAATACATGTTCCTGCTATCAAAATGTACACATTCCTCTTGGTTGTTTTTTGGGAGCATCTTTTGTTTTGTTTTGGTATTGGGGACTGAATTGAGGTACTTTACCACTGAGCTACCTACCCAGCCCTTTGTATTCTGAAACAAAGCTCTCACTAAGTTGCTGAGGCTGACCTTGATGTTGTGATCCTCTTGCCTCAACCTCCCAAATTGTGGGAATTAAAGGTGTGTGTTACCACGCCTGACTTTCCTCTTGGTTTTCAAAATTATTAAAATGTTTAAATCTTAAGTCACCAAGATACTTTTGGATCACTAGGGGTTGCAGGTACAGCTAGCTCAGTGGTAGAACATTTGCTCAGTGTGAAGCTCTGGGGTTCAATACCTAACACCACACATACCCACACCATACAGAACCCAGAACCCATCAAGGACACACATTATGGGAATTATAATTATCTTCAACTCTGGGGTGTCAGAATATCACCATTAATTCCTGTATTAAGGACAATGTACTTAATAGAAAAGAATACAGCATAAGTATGATTTTGATAAATATAATCAATCAAAACTGAAGCTTAGGATTACTTTTTGAGTTTGTAATAGTTATCAAAACGTAGTGGAATTTTTAGCATTCAGAATAAGTGATTAGATTGAACATTTTTCCTTTCTACCACTCCCAATTCCCTCATCTCTAACTTCATTTCTTCTCTCTTTCAACATCCATAAAAAGCACCCCATCTGGGTTGGGGTTGTGGCTCAAAAGCAGAGTGCTCACTTACATGCATGGGACACTGGGCTCAGTCCTCAGCATCACATAAAAATAAAATAAAGGTATTGTGTCCACCTACAACTAAAAAATAGTATGTCTACTGTACAAACACTTCTTACTATATTAACACTACAGCTGCACTCAAATAACCATTTTTTTAAAAAATCAGAACCAAATCACAAAATCATCTTTATTTCAGAAACATTTCAGTTGGGATCTTAAGCAAAAGACAGTACTATTAAAATCTTTAACATGTTAACTAGAACACTCAAACATTATGCTGTAGAAAACATAACATGGTTTTTGCTTTAAGTAACTCAAATGAACAATATAATTTAGTTTTAGCATTCATTCATTTGAACCCAAATAACACAGATACGGAAGATCAACTCACGAACAAGTTGTGTTCTAAATGTTCCAAAAGTTAATTTTTATCAATTGAATGTAAGCTTGATTTTGAAACTAAAGATGCCTTTTCTCATAAATCCAAAGATAAAATAATGGCATTAAACATGCCTACATATACATACATACAGACACATACATACATACAGACACATACACACATACATACATACATATATTGATATAAAATGCAAAAGAACTTTAGGGCATAATTCTTCTGTTGAAGTTATTTCTATATCAAACAATGCTTCTTATAGTTTCATTTCTGTATCCTAAAATCTAGCACAGTTAAACGACATAGAATATGATTTTGGCAAATATTAGCTGATTTGAAGTACCTAATATTAATGACTCAATAAGAAACTAAGTTATTTAGAAAATCTAACCTATCTGAAATACAAAAGAGAACAAAAGGCAAGAGGGAAAAGTTTCTTCCAGAAGAGATATCAGGGAAAGATTCTTGGGCTAGAATGCTCTGGTCTAAGCCAACTGTGGTAATTTCCATTCTTTTTGCCAGTGGATTATTCTGGCTAGTAAGACAAAGAGAGTTCACTTGCTAGGGAGTTTATGGGGAAGGTTTTCCTGGATGAAGCAAAGAGCCAGATGAGCTGGGTGTGGTTTTTTATGCCAATAATCCCAGTGACTTGGGAGGCTAAGGAAGGAGGATCACAAATTTAGGCCAGCTTGAGCAATTTAGTAAGAAGCCCCTCTCTCAAAACCAAACAAAAAACATTGGGATGTAGCTTAAAGTAGAATGCTCCTGGTTCTGATCCCCAGTACTGAACCACCACCACCACCAAAAACAAAAGCCAGATGAAAACACACATACACATCCTTTTTTTGCATACAATTCTGGGTAGAAATGTGTCAGCCAAACTGTGGCATTCATCATAAGAACATTGGAGAACAGACTATGTAAGAGGACACACTCAAACAGAATGAGAATGGCAGCAGCACTAAATGATAGAAGGAATC